TATCCTATTTCTTCTTTTTTACTCAAGCAAAATAGATACAAACATTATTAGGTTAAGTGTGACCCGCAAAGGTTCTTATCCCTACTTTTTCTTTCTCTCCTCAAAATAGTATTTGTTTTGTCCAACTTTACAGGACTAAACAAAGGAAAAATAATCTTTGCTAACAATTTGAATTTCTGAGTTATACTCTTCACATTCTTATCTTTTACTTTCCAGAAATAATTTTTGAATTTTTACAAGTTTCAAATATCACAAATCTCATTTTACTTAGAATAATCAAAAATGTCACTTTTCAGCTTTTTAGAACAGTAGTAGTATGGAGGTAAGATTCACAGAGGAAAGATGATCTCTTCCTTAATTTTTAAAGCCTATAAATGAATTTAAAATACATTTTTTTTTGTTACAGTTACAAAGCCCAGTAACTCATTTTATTAGAAAACTCAATAATCTCATACTAAGGAGGTAGTACACGTTGTTGAGCTCGGTCACTTTATAACTGTGAATATTGGGGGAAAATTTTAATTTATTATATTGTTTGTTTTTGAAAGGCAGGATGGCAGGTGTATGGGGATATTCCATCTGCTGACTCATTCCTCAAATGCCTGCAACAGCCATGGTTGGATCATGCCAAAGTCAAGAGCCTTGAACTCCATCCAGACCTCATATGTGGATGGCAGGAATACAAGCACTTGAACCATTATCCGCTACTTCCAAAGTGCATTGACAAGAGCACAAAGGCATTGGATTAATCCAAAGCACCACAATGTCTACCCACTAAGGTAAATTTCTTAAGTCATGTAACACTATAGATATTACTGTGAGCAAATTTCAGATAAAAAGTCAGCTCCCCCCCATACACCTACATTTTATTTCTACCAAGAAATGGGAATATGACTGTAGTAATTTTAAAACTATGTTATTCCATTTCATCTAAAGAGTTGTGGTTAATAAGCATAAGCAAGTCAAGAAAGCCATTTTGTTCACTAATAATGAAAAAAACAAATGAGTCAAGATTTTACCTGCGAATAACAGGCATTTCTAGAAAGGGAGATGTGGGTGGAGGTAAAGATTAAACAATGCGAAGGAAGGAGACTTAGACAAGCATGAAACTACTCATCCGCAACCCTGTAAGATGGTGGACAATTAGCCACAGTACCAGAAAAGGAAGATACCAGCTCCCTTTAAAGTCAAAGAAAGACTTCTTCACCTGTGCTGGACTTCGGAAATTCAGGGACATTTGAGGAAATCATATATAATCTTCTGATTAGTGAATCAGAACATAAATCTCAAGACAAAAGCAGATGTTTAGAATGATGTTATCTGTAAAAATATGTGGTATGGTATAAAGTGTTGTTTGAACAGAAAACATTACAAGAGAAAACCTAGCAAAGATCTGCAACTAAACTGTTCAAGTTAAATCAGTAAGACCCATGTGTGAGGCAGGGCTACCTTCACTGGGGGTAGCATGAGACTAGAAAGGGAAGAATATTCTAGAGTCTTCATGTCAGTGTAGACAATAGGGGTTAAACGCAATAGGAAAGCACTGTCATTCGATTAAGATTCTCTGAACATGATAATGACTGTTAACTTAAAAAGAATAATTAACTGTCCACATTCACAAAAGGCAAGTGGGAGAGATCAAAGAAACACTCAAACCAACGAAAGCCAAACAGTGTATACAACAAAAAGGTCTATACCTAAAATGTCATGATTCACTTCAAGAGCAGAAAGATGGACTTGTGACTGTCGCTGAAGGACTATACTACCATATGCTATGCTATTGTAAAAATATAGAGGAAAATAGCCTATGTAACAGTATCACTAAAATTAAAAACAACAACAACAAAAGAAATACAGCCAAAAAATAAACATCATAATACTTAAGGAATAAAATCAAGTACAACCTCATCGTGTTGAGTATAAATGAACAATAAACGTTTTAAATATCCACCAGGTATACAGGAAAGGTCCCATTCAACAGTCTTCTCTCTGAACTCGAGGGAATGAGCAGGTGTTGAGATACAATGGAGCTATTTTTCTCAAGCGGTGGAATTCAGGAATCGCTGCAATACTGCATAACAAAGCAATACTCCAGGTGGCCTTGAGGTATGGTCTCCCAACTTCCCCACCAGACACAGCATAAGACACAACATGTTTACTAAGCACCATCCACCATTAGTCATTTATTCATTTCCAGTTTTGTGTGTTCTCCACACTGAACTTACAGTTGTATTTCTAATATCAAAATCCAACGGTGGGGGGGGAGGGAGGTCCGGTGGCCTAGTGGCTAAAGTCCTTGCCTTGAACGCCCCCAGGGTCCCATATGCGCACCGGTTCTAATCCCGGCAGCTCCACTTCCCTTCCAGCTCCCTGCTTGTGGCCTGGGAAAGCAGTCGAGGACGGCCCAAAGCTTTGGGACCCTGCACCCATGTGGGATGCCGGGAAGAAGTTCCTGGATCCTGGCTTCGGAGCGGCATAGTATTGGCCATTGCGCTCAATGGGGGAGTGAATCATCGGATGGAAGATCTTCCTCTGTGTCTCCCCTCCTCTCTGTAAATCTGACTTTCCAATAAATAAATAAATCTTTAAAAAAAATAATCCAACGGGACACCCACATGACCCATAGCATAGAAGGAGAGTCTTCTCAATGCAGATACAAGTTTAGGTTTTCCAGGCCCTTGTACAAGTAAGAGTCTCTGATTATTCCAAAATCATTAAAAGAATGAAATTTTGTTAAACGTTGCACTGATATCCATAGCATACTAGACATCATCAAGGTTTCTAACATTCTTTTTTAAACATTTTATTTCAGATTAGTTTTAAATTCACAGAACCAAATATGAATCAGTGACAATAGTTTTGAAATACCCTACATAAAGCTTCCCCTATTGTTAAATCTTAAATTTATATAATGTATTTGTCACATCCTATAAACCAAAAGTGGTAATTCACCAATAAAACAACAACACTTGTTAGACTACCCCTGCCTTAAGATTTATGCTGAATCTGCTATTCCAACACAGTATGAGGGAGTGGATATGCTTGGGTCATGCATATTAGTGTTTTAATCTCAGTTTTGCTGCTAATCAAAGTGCAACAAGTCACTTTGCCTTTCTTATTCTGAGTTTCCACACTGATTAAACTGACTTGATTTTGATTCTTTGTGTTGATTGCTTTTAAAATGGTAGCTGCTGAGAACATACAATACGGAGACATTTTGAATATTGTGATTGTTACCATGCTCAAAATCACCAAATTTAGTCATTCCTAACTCAATTTTGCCACCTGTTACATAGGAAGATGACCAGTTCCATTCCATGGTTTTCTGTGTGATAACAGTGAGCACCATTTTTATTTAAACTCCAGACAAATGACATTCCAGAAGCACATTTTTTTCATAACCTTATAAATGCAAATGTGTCTAAGGCTGATTCTATACTTGCAAAGAAATAACACCAATGTTAGTTCAAATCTCCTTAACACAACACCATCACCATAACTGCTCAGATGCACTTGGCACATTGCAATGACCTTTGCAACACCAACCAATCTTGCAAAGACTTGTACAATTCATAAGCAAATCTTTGCTCTGACCCAGGCAGTTTGAACAGTGTGTCTTCTGCTTGGCCTTCCAGCCACAGATGCACTCTTCCTAGTGCTTTCTCCCTGTTATCACACTCCTTCTTCTTCTGGTCCCCTGATCTTATTCATCCCCTCTTGCTACCGACTCTTAGCATGTGCCTTCTTATGTTAAGAATTTAACCAAGCTTCATGCTGTTCTCCTTACTGATTGCCACTTGCACTTCCAGCTCCTTCACACCTTTCTCCATGCTGACTGTTCATTGTCCTTCCAGTCTTAGTTCAAGGGCTGCATCCATCCACAGAAAATCTCACCTCCACAACCGCTCCATCTGGCCAGACTCCTTTATTACATTCTCTCATAGAACTGAATTCTGCCTGTAATTATCACTAACTCATGAGATTACATAGTAATCCTACTTAGTTTCAGAAGAGCAGGACTCATCTCTTTTGGCTAATTGCTGTATACAAAGCCACTAGCAGAATGCCTCCTGTATGACAAGTGCTCAGTATTCAATGAATGAGTGGATAAATGAATGAACAGATATCGAGTCCAACGCTACCTGTATATTGTTCATGCTGCTAGGAAAGAAGTAAATAAGAAAACAATAAGATTGGGACATTTCACTGGTAGATCCTAATCTCTTATTTAAAACCATCTCACTTTCCTTTTTCCAGCTTAAAGGTCAGGGCTCAGGGTTAAAGAGAATAAAGGTAACATAAAATGTATAGGGTAAGAAACAGCAAAAGCTGCTACACAAATGAATTTATGTTGCAGATAGCATTATTTAAATTTTCATATATAGTCTGTATATGCCTTCTAAGACAAAGAACAAAGATTCCAGAATGATTTTTTAATGTCTATTGCTACTACGAATATTTTTACATAATCCACTCTGCCTTCGCCTCCAAAGGGTACCCTAAGACTTAGTGTCAATAAAAACTGCATGGCTGCCTAGGCGTTTCGGATAACAGATCATCCAGGTAAGATTAAAATCAAAATCCTTATTTTCAAAACCCTTCCATTTTATTTTATGCCACACAAAGAATCCCTTGCCCAAATGGCAGGACTATTTAATTTTTATTCTATTGACATAAGTCATTTTATCTTTCATCTTTCCCTGAGAACAGTAAGCTAGACTTTTACTTTATCCATTGACAGGTAACTTCAAGCAGACAATTTTAAAATGCAGTGGTCTCTTGAAGTGCATTGTTCTATCTTAAAACACAATATCAAAGGCAGCAAAGCAAACTCAACACCATCCATGGTGACACGGGTGACAGGGTGACTTTAGCTGTGATCTGAAAGCGTTCCTACTTTCACAAAGTCACATTCTACGTGGTGCTGTTTTTCTACTTTTGATTTTATTTAATGTTCACATGGATTATAATTTAATAAAAATGATCAATAGACCACTCACCCATTAGAACTTCAACTTGGAAGCAGAAGAGAAAGAAATACCAAAGCTCTGACTTCATGTTTGCCAGGAGCAGGCACCCTCCTCCTTCGGTCTTCAGCGCTCACAACAAATTCATGTTCTCCGTTGTTTTCTATTTGCTGAAAAGGAAGTGGGTTTTGTGGGGGTTGAGTTAGTATGACACTGCCAATTCAAAGGTGGTATCTACTCATTGATGTAAATGGCAGTATGGGAGGCATGACTGCTCATGGGGAGTGAGCACTTAATCCAGAGATTATTGATGAATTGGAAGACAAGAGAACCGGCTCTTACTCTGGCTCCAACAAGTTAAAAAGACCATGTCTATTATTTTCAGACACACCCTGCTTGTCTGATTAAAGCAGTTTCTGGGAATAATGAAATAGAAAAAAATCCCCATAAGGTGAATAATGCACATATTTTAATTCACGCCTATCTGATGTTATTCAGAGAATAAAAAGCCTGTGAAATAGCACGGAGTGAGAATGAAATCATTAAAGATATTGAAATGAACAAATCTACAAGAAGGCGATCGTAGGAATCTGATGCATAGTATCTGTGGCCCTTACTACAAACTGAAATTTTCCATAGGATGGGATCAGTTTTAAACTAACTTTTATCCTGCTTTCCCTAATTCAGTCACCAGAAAAAAAAAAATTAAAAATCTGCCGTCAGCATTGGGGCTCAACCAGTTAAGTTGCAGCCTAGAATGTTGACACCCCTATAAGCACCAGATCTTGTCCAGGTGCTCAGCTTCTTCCCAGCTCCCTGTTAATGTGCATGGGGAGGCAGCAGAAGATGGCCCAAGTACCTGGGCCTTAGCCAATCACATGAGAGATGTAGAGGGAGGTTTAGGATCCTGGCTTTGGCCTGGTTCACTCCTGACTTTTGCCACCATTTGGGGAATGCAGCAATAGATGGAAGTTCTGCGTGTGTGTGTCTGTCACCTTGCCTTTCAAATAAATAAAATGATTCTTTTTTTAAAAAAAAAACTAAGAATCCCATAATGCTCTCTGTGTAATTCCAGGGAGATAAAGTATATAGCAATAATAATAAGTAATAATATAAATAATTATATGTGTATATGCTTAAAGATTTTATACACAATGCTATGTATTAATAAAAGACATGCATAAAATGTTAAATAACATACATTTAATATGTATAAAAATATGCTGAATACAGCAAATATTTACTTTGATGTTTTACATGTATTCAAATGGTTACTACTTATATAGATTTGTGCTGTTATACTTTACACATATATTAACTCCTTTAATCATCTTAACTACCTATGAGACAGAATGCCACTTATCTCCCCATTTTATCAGTAAGGAAAACTAAGGCACAGAGAGGCTCCAGTCTTCTTTGTAGTAAGTATAAGTGCTAGAATTTGAAGCGTCAGCCTCCAGTGTTTTCCTCTTAACCTATCAGGTGGATCCATTCATGCTAAAGCCTGCTGATCTTGCCATCCAGAGGACTGACCTAGTTCTCAGAACGCTGGAACGCTGTTCCCAGGTGTGACCTACCTAGGAACAACCAACTTGGCTGTCAGAGACAACATGCAGGTGAGAAGCTGAAGCCACGTGGGCAAGGAAACCAAGGTAGACGTCCACAGGATATGAGGCCTGCACCAAAGGGCTCTGAGGGTGATTGCCCAATTGCCCAGGTTTCCCCTAGGTATCTATTTTTTAGTGCTCTTGGGAATCTCAGAAGTGGATGATAGATAAATTATCTGAGGGGCTCAGCTAAACTGAGTAGTAGCAAAGAGGGACACCAGGAGCCTTGGGAATTCTCTACTCTATTTTCTCCATTTCCCTTCTACCATAGTCCCTGCCAACTTTAAGAGGAGGCACTTCCAAAGTCTGAGCATAGCAGTGGAGTCTTCCAGCACACTGACAAGCCAACAGAGATGAACTGATTAATCCTAATCTGGTGGTGGCCTTGCTGTACAATTAAATATGGGGAACTGTCACTTCCTGGGACAAAATCTGCAACTTCTGCAGCTGAGCTGAGCTGCAATCAAGAACACACAGCTCTCACACGATCAGTAGAGTCTGCCTCTTGAGGACATAGTAGATGCCAGATGCCGTGCTGCACATGCATTCTCTCACCCACTCTCCAATCTAATCCAGATCCCATGATGACTCTCATTTCATGGATGAGGAAACTGTGACAGAAATCAACTACTGCGAAGTCATGTGGTGGTACGTGAAAGAACCAAGTCAAACCCAGGCAATGAGAATGAACTCCAGATTCTGGGTTACCAATTAATATTGTCACACTCATCCTCCTTTACTAACCAGAAACTACTGGTAGCCCCTCCTATTTCTGCAGTGGAAGGGTACTTAGATGTTAGAAGAAGTTCCAATACGTTTGAATATAAGGAAAGAAAGCTTTCCTAATAAAGTTTAGAGGAAATATTTCCACCTCTAAGGAAGAAAATTACACACGTTAAGGTTGAATTCATCATGAGGTTCACCGGCTGTGTATTTTTATTTTATGTCAATCTGCTTGCCTTTTCCCACCCATCACGCTTCTTGGTTTGCAGGACATTGGGTGGTAACTGATCTTAGAGTAGAGCAGAGCTTGCTTGTATGTAAACAGTTTACATCAAAATCCCCTACATTTGATCCTGCCCAACCTTCTCAAAACTTGCACTTAATACAATCACCTACGCTTTGAAATAGTCAGAACTGCTTTGCCTGCGCCTGGAAAATAAACTGCCAAAACTTTCCATTCACCTCACAGGAAACACTTTCAGGTTTGCTTTTAGTTTATCTTAATGTTTTTTTTCTTTTTTTCATTCCATGACTTAAGAGGGTTTGATTTATGTGTGCAAATGCCTGGGGTGAGGGTGGGAAATGGAAAGTTTCTTACATTAAAAGTGGATGTCTATTATTTCTTGCTTTGTAGGCACCAGAGTTTATGAGGCTCCCTGCTCATTTTTGAAGTTCTGCAGGTGAAACCATTTGCTTTACTCAAAAACCATTGAAATCAATGTTTGTGTGAGTATACACTAGCTCATATACTAGCACCCTCGAGTCAAAACAATGGGATTGGGCCCTGCACGGTGGCCTAGTGGCTAACATCCTTGCCTTGAACATGCTGGGATCCCATATGGGCACCAATTCTAATTCCAGCAGCCTCACTTCCCATCCAGCTCCCTGCCTGTGGCCTGGGAAAACAGCTGAGGATGGCCCAAGGCCTTGGGACCCTGAACCCGCATGGGAGACCCGGAAGAAGCTCTTGGCTCCTGGCTTTGGATTAGCTCAGCTCTGGCTGTTGTGGTCACTTGGAAAGTGAGTCATCAGACAGAAGATCTTTTTTTCTGCCTCTCCTCCTCTCTGTATATCTGACTTTGCAATAAAAATAAATATTCCCAGATATGTTTCACCTAACCTTTGCTATTCTATCCAAAAGGAAAGTGTCTTCCATTGACCAGGATTGGACTCCTCTGTTGTCTGTGTAGTTGAGTGCTAGTGCCAACCACCCAGGCCTTTAGCCAGTCCTCCTCTTCCTCCCACTAATTCACTAAGAAAGTCCTACTGATTCTGCTTTTAACTCTCTCCCAAATAGCTCCTGCTTCATCTCCTCTCAGGGTCTCTATCTTAGATGAGTAGTTCTTTGTATTTTTGCTCCCACTTTTGTCTTATTCCAATCTGTCTCTCCACTATAACCAGCATGTTCTTTGTAAAAGGTAAGTCAAAAAATCATTTCTGCCCTCCACTGATTACCCTCTTGCTTCCTGTTGGTCTTAGATAAGGCCCAAATCTTTCAAGTTCCTTTGCTAAAGTCAAATCCCTAATCAATTCAAACCCATATCTTATCATATTTTCTCTTTCTTCCTCCCACACCAAAGGCATTAAACACATGGGATGACAACAGTTCTCCAAATTCCCTAAGTTAATTCTTCATCCTACCACTACAAGCTTCCTCATTGTGCCTAGTTTCATTCCTTATTCACACTACTACCCCAGGAACAAATCATACCATTCTTCAAGTCCTTGCTTATATACCCGACAATTCAGCAAAGTCTTTCCCATTGCATTTCATTATTACTGACCAACCACTTCCATAACCAGTATAGATTTGTTGGTTTTCTGTACCTTCTCCATGTCCCTGTATCTCCCCAGTCTGAAATCTCAGCCTGCTGGTGTCATAATCTGTTTACTCTTTTGCAGCCCCCAAGAGGATGGAAGTAATAGCAGAAAAAGGACTGAAGATATATCCTTCGCAGCCTTCCCTGTAAGGCCTAGCACAGTCTTTGTTGCATAGTAAATGCTCCACAACTGTTTATTCAGTGAATAAGCATTTGAAAAATGGTGACATTTTTAAGGCTGTATTTTATTTTCATTTGAAAGGCAGAGAAGGGAGGCAGAGAGGCATCTTACACCTGTTGGTTCATTCCCCAGATGGCCACAACAACTGGAGCTGGTCTGATCTGACCCAGGGCCAGGATCCGGGAGCTTCTTCTGGATCTCACACATGGGTGAAGGCTTCCAATGAAACAGACCATTCTCCACTACTTTCCCAGGCTATAAGCAGGGAGGTGGACAGAAAGAAAATTAGCTGGGACTCCAGCCAGTGCCTGTATGGGATATGGAGGCTTTGCTTAATATGCCAGACTCCAGGGTCATGATTTTTGTAGATAACAGATTACCTTAGGAGTTCTCATCAATGATTGTTTTGCTCTATGAATCATAATGCAAGTGCAGAAATTATTTCACATTGAAATTAATTCAATAAACAAAATAATTCATCATCCTGATACAGCTCTTATCTGTTCATTTGTACATCCCTAATCATCAAACAAAAGAATATTTGATTTTAACAGCCAAATGTTTTCTTATTTTGTTATTCATTAATCTATAAAGCCCAAAAAATTAATTGTACATTTCCATAAAAGATGAAAATCATTGTCCTATGTGACTAAAAAACATCATTAGTATTTTTAAAAAGTATCCCCCTGGGGCAGATATTGTGGAATAGCAGGTGAGATCGCTGCCTGCAATACCAGCATCCTATACGGGCACAAGTTTGTGTGCTGACTCTTCTACTTCCAACCCAGCTCCCTGCTGATGCCCTAGGAGAAGCAGCAACGGAGTGCCCA